AAGAGGTGCGGCTAGGGAGGGCCGGGCCGGGAAGAAAGGGAAGCCCCTCGCTGACACGGGCATAACTTAATTTTCACGGTGCCGGGACAGCTGTATCGTGTAATCTGCCGTGGCACGCCGTTAAAGCTTCAATGACTTTACTGACCCAGAAGGGAGACTCGGACCGTGGAGAGACTTTTGAAAAGAAGTGGTGATCTTTCACGATTTATGAGCTTGTCTTAAAGAGACAGGCTCCACTCACTTTAAATTAATCACCCTTTGCAGGGTGCAGGGGAGTGGGAGTCTTGGGGCCCGCACGCTGAGCGGGCCCCTTGCCAACTGCGCTGGAGGGGACCCTGGCCCTGGGGCGGAAGGGACCCTGGATCTAGGGCAGAGGGGGACGGGTGTTACCCCGTGCCCGGGGTCTGGGCAGCAGAGGCGAGGGTCGCCGCCTCCGGCCCGGACTGGAGCAGCCTCCCCACCCCCAGGCCGGGAGGTCAGCGCCGGGATAGCCAGATCGCTGGGGGGCGGGGAGGGCCTGCGTGCCCAGGGAAGGCTTCCTTCACTTTCCTGCACTTGAATTCATTGTGCAAGAAGAAAAAAGAAACCAGGAGAAATATAAGGCATTTCACACCCTGATGAAACTCGAGACCTCCCGTGTGATTAAACCGCTGAAAGGAAAAGTGGGGTAATACCAGGCCCGTTTGATCCGCCTTCATTTTCCATATTTCTGGGAACAAAAGGTGAAAAACCGCATCCTAATGTGCATGCACTTACTGTTGAAATTCTGGCAAAGACCTTATTCCCACAAAAGGGACGTTTTGGAGAACTGACAATCCTAAAATTATTAGTCATAGTGTCCTAGAGAAATCTTGGGACCAGAAATACTCTGAAGGTTCCTATAACTGAGCAAATGATGGATCTGTCTTGAAACACTTTTGGAAAGACCTCAAACTCTCTCTTGATTTACTGTGCTGAGAACACCTAGGCCGCAGGCTGCGGCCCTGGGAATAAGGCTGCCGGCTGATTTCTTTGGGCTGTCCTGTGTATCTGTTCTTGGTGCACCCGGCTGCAACGTGTTAATGTTTTGAAGCCTTTTATATTTCCGTGGTTTCACCACCAGCTACGTAAGACAGGTTATCTTTGAACAGCTTCACAAGCTTTGAAAGCTCCTCATCTCCTAAAACTCCTGGTACTTCATGGATCCTTTTTTTTAATTGAATTTATTGGTACATTCTAGGTAGACAGTACGGTTACATTCACTACTGGGATCTTGTACCTTTACATGCCAGGTCTTGGTTCTCATTTTTTCCCCTTGTCCTTTTCTGATGGTAGAAAGGAGGACCAGTCGAGAGCAGAGAGTCAACCGCTATCTCCACCTTTGATAGAACATAGGTTGATCTTCCCCATGTAGTGTAACACTCAGAAAGTAATTGAGTGCCTGTAATTGAGCGCTGCTGTAACAGAATACTGCACCCGTCCTAGGTAATCTGTACAGATCACGGGTCTGTTTCTCACATTTATGGAAGTTGACAAGTCCGAGATCTACACTCTGCCTCCAAGAGGGTACCTGGTCTTGTGCCAGAAGAGCAAAAGAGGACAGAGCCTCTGCTGGCCGCACTGGTGAGAACTTCTCTCCTGCTGGTGAGGCGGGTCCCTCATGGTCTAATCACTCCTTGGGTGCCACTCCCCTAGCACATTCCTGTTTGTAGCATCTGAAGCGGGGGTGCATTCACACTGTGGGGTGGCCTTCACTAATTATACATAAGAAGAAACATGGTTCTGGCAAGCGACAGACCTAAGTGAGGTTCACAGAAAGCTAGTGGGAGACTTAAAGAAAAGAAGTTGACTCAGGGAGAGCACATGCATTCCTTGCCGATACAACCGTCCTCAGCCTAGTGCATAGCTCCTGTGTGGTGCACATTGCACAATATTTTCTAGTATTAGGGTGAACTCTATAATTGGAAGTGTCACTATCCACCTTTCAGGTGCATTTAAAGCACACAATAGTAGGCCCTGAATTGTTAGCTTTTGCTGCTGTATTCTCTCGGCCAAAGAAGTGGCCAGTGGGAAAAGTACCTGGCATTTACTCTGTTCACGAACATGCTGTTTACAAACACATCTAGGGTTTCTCTTGTGAGAAGGAATTGCAATGGTATCACTAAGAGGAAGTCACTGCATTATCTGGGCCAGGAAACATGCAGCACATCTGGAAACTGGCAATAATGAGTGTGGGTAATATTATTCGGGCATGGGGAGGGGGAACAGATTGGATGATTATTGCCACCGAAAGGGTTGTTTCTCACCATTTCCAAGAGGAGGAGACTCCTGCACCTTGTAGGATATTATGGTACAAACCAGGCCCACCAGGACACTGAAGTGAAGAAAACACAAGCTCTAAGAGCTTATATTCTGGTTCCCACAGAAAGTAATGGGCAAGACGGGGTAGGCAGACTGAGGACTGGCCAAGTAGAGTAGTTTCAGCAGGCTCTGGGCTGCACAAAGTGTCCAGTCATCTGGAACCTGGACCGGGGTTGATATGAGCAGGAAATAGGGGCTCCACAGGAGAGTTGGGCTGGAGGGATGGGCTGTGAATTGGTTGGCTTGCTGGTGCAGGGTGATTTACTGTCCCTGGGAGCAGGCTGGACCTGGGAGGGGCAGTCCCTGCAGAGTCCAAGATGTCAGAGCTTTAGAACCATAGCAACCAAAAAGGCATGAGTAATGTAGTTGGTCCCATTAATGCCACTAAACAGATGCCAAATCTGGTACCTCGGAATGAACTGTGATTGTGGGACAGGGCTAGAGAGTTAGGTAATGAGATATGTATGTTTTAGCTGCTCAGTGCAAGCCATCAGATGACTTGTCTTTTCAGTGAATTCTTAGTCCTTTGTATGATAACATTATGAAGCTCCACACACTTCCTTTAATCAGTGGAACCCAGAATTCCTCTGTCAAATGTGGGATGACATCACTGGTGAGAAGTGGTCAGTCCACATGGCACAAATCCTATTTCTCTCTTCAGGATCCATATTGCGTTTTGCTGAAATAGCTTGGCAGAGTTGTTTCTCTCCCTTGAACACCTTGATCCCTGTGAGCCCTTATAATTGGCTGTGCAACTCGAATATGCAAAAAGATCCCTTGAAGCAAGAACAGGGAAAAAGAGAAACAAAAATAGGCAAACATCTTTTCTGGTTTGGCTTTCGAGGTGAGTTACTCATCTTTGTCCTGTGGTCCATTCCGGGTTCCTTTCTGTCCTGCTCCTAGGCCGTGGTTAATGGCACGCACATTTTGAGCCCACATTTTACCAAAATGGACTTTCAGTTCGCCAAGTTCTTGAAGTGAAATGAAGAAAAGCAGAAGCATTCTTTCATCTTCCTCTCCCACTTTCTCAACTTCCCTTTTCTGTCTCAGGATTGCAATCTTCATCCAAGTAGAAGACATCATTCTTAGGAATGTTCTTCACCCTCGGGGATTTCATCTCGTGCCTGCAGGTAGGATGAATGTAGCTCAGTAAAGCATAACATTTCAGAATTATTAGATACCCATTTTTCCAACTCCTTGGTATATAGAATCTTCAGAATCCCTCTAGTCCATGTTCTGTTGCTATAACAAGATACCCGAGTCTGGGGACCTTATAAAGAAAGATTTATGTAGCTCATAGTCCCAAGGTTGAAAGTGCCAAATTGGGAGGCCCCATCTGTTTGGCCTCTGGTGGAAGTCACAATGGCTGGACCATGTTCAGAATAGATCTCATGGTGAGACAGAAGCCAGAGACTTGGGGTGTAACAACTCACTCTTGAAAGATTAACTGCATTCCTTCCAGAACCACATTCATCTTTTCTGAGGGTAATGCTTCCCATGACAAAATCGCCTCTCACTAGGTGCCACTTCTTAGTTTCTGCCACCTCAAGACTGTCATATTAAGCATCAGGTTTCCAGCACATGAACCTTGAGAGATGTTTTCCAACCATATGTCAACCCTAACGTACTAGGACTTGTGACTATAATGTCAGTCCGTTTTGCAATCGTTGGCAATTAAAAAGGGAAACTACTCTTGGTCAGCCTGACTTAATCAGGCAATCCTTTGAAAGGTGAGACACACTTACAGCGTGACAGATTCTTACATGAGAGGCTCTCTACTTCCGACTTTGCAGATGGAAGGGGCCATGTGGTGAGGATTGAAGGAGAGACGCTGTGAGCAGCAGACAGCAGTGAAATGGGAGCTCAGTCCTCTGACTGCAAGGACACGGATGGCACCTTGGAAGAGGGCACCATCCTTAGCTCCAGGTAAGAGTGCAGATTGGTTCTCACTCTGCTTTTGCCATGCCCTGAGTAGAAAACCCAGTTACTCTGTGTCTGGAGTTTTGATCTAATAGCTGGGGGACACCAAATCAGTGCTGTTTAGAGCCACTGGGTTTGTGGTCATTTGTTACATAGCAATAGAAGACTGAGGCAAATCCAGCCCTCTTCAGTGATGCACATCCAATCAGGCTGTGGTGTCCAGGAAGTCTTCTGCAGAGGAGATGACGGTGGTTCTGTTGCCAAAGGGCTCAACCTGCTCTGGGGACTGCCATGAACAGAATAGCCCAAGTCTGCTATTTACTGTACAAGTCCCACTGTCTCTTCCCACGGATCACCTACTACTTTCAGTGTGCTGAAGGACAGTTGCTTCACCAGAATGGGCTTCACAGGCTGCACTAGTCCCAAGTAAATGGCTGAAGGGATAATGAAAAGGGCAAGGACTTTCTCCGTGTGGATGGTTGATGGAGAAAATCCACCAGCACCAGCTAGATTTCTCATTTCTGACTAGTTAATGAACAAAAGCAGTTTGTCTTGCCCAATTATGAATCAACTGGTGCTGTCAACTTATGCATTTCCAGGCAGTGATGAAGTTAGCCAAGAATTCAGGGTGCTGCTATCTGATCTTAATCTTTGCCCAAATTTACTAGGAGACCTCGCCAGGAATCTGAATTGGGTTTCTGAGACTATAGCTCAGTGGTGTCAAATCCATGGCACATGCATTGTATTTCTTTTAAGACAAGAGATGTTAATGTAGGAGTTATTTTTGCTAAACTAAAACCTCAGTGTTCATGTTCTATTGCCACTTTGTGGTAAACAAACAGGTTTTGGGTCATCGTCTGGCCCTGGTCTCTAAGGGCTCGCCATCACTGCTATCGTGGATGGCCAAAGTTCTTATGACTTTGGGGGCCAAAGAACAAGTGGACAGTTGGGCGCCACCCATTGATCGGTGACAAACTAGCTCCTCCTATCTTGCCAACAGGAGAGCATTCACAGACTTTATTGGCCCGATTGTGCCGACCTGGCAATGCTCGCAGGGCAATGTGGCCAAACCCAGATATGTTCCACCTTGGGGCAAAGATGAGATCATTTATGGGTTATGTGCAGCTCCTGGTGCTAGCCAAATCCTCCTCCTCCTCCTCCTCCTCCTCCTCCTCCTCCTCTACCAGGGATTGAACTTGGGTTCTTATTTTTGCAAGGCAGGCGGTGGAACCACTGAGCTAAATCCTCAGCCTTTCTTATAGGTTCTTTTGTTTTTACCTCTTTGAGTCTTGGCTTCCGGTCCAGAAGATGAGATAATCTCTGATTGATGGGAGTGTTTTGAGAATTGAATGAAATAATGCAAGTTGCACATTTTACACAGCGTCTGGGACATTAGTGCAATTTTCATCATCGCCATAACTATTAGAATCATCAAAACTCTTTTAGTGAAAGCTTGCTGCTTTTTAGACTACTTTATCTTAATTTATTAAAAATTCCCTTGTATCCTTATTTACAGATCTAACAGTGTTAAACCACAAAGAAAAAGGTAGTCAATAAATAAACCCTTCATCATTGTGATGATTCCCTGTCCAATGTTTCTTTCCAAAGTCACAGAATGCCCTGCAACTTGACTAAAATAAGAAGGAAATCCCTCCATTGTGCTGCAATGGCCCCCAAAGGCTCCTGTGCAGGAAGCGTGGACCCCAGGGCCACAGTCTGGAGGTGGTAGAAACTTTAGGAAGCAGGGCCTAGAACAGTGATAGTCACCCTTTCAGAGACGAGTGCCCATAATGCAACCCTAAACCCATTTACTTAATCGCCAAGTGCCAACACTGCAATTCAACCTGAATGCTGAGGTTTTAGTTTAGAAAAAACAATTCCTACATTAACATCTCTTGTCTTAAAAGCACACGTGCCATAGGGTCACTACCCCTGGCCTAGTGAAAGGGGCTCCTCCTCACCAATGGGATAATGCTGGCTCGTGGGTGTCGAGCAAATTCCTCGAAACTGAGTTAGCTTCTGCAGGAATGGTTTCTGTGAGTGACTGGGATGTCCCGAGTTCCTTTTCCACTTGCACTGTAGGTGGCTTTCGCCTGTGCTTCTGCCACTGTGATGCCATTGCCACAAAGTGCTCCCCAGAGCCACGGAGGCATCATGCTTGTACCTGCAGAGCTATGAGTTACCTAAGCTACTTCCCCTTATAGAGCACGTAGCCTTAGTGCTCTGTGGTAGCAATGCAGAACGGATAAAGACCAAGCAAGCTTGTCCCCAGCGTCCTTTACCAAGTCGCTAGCTTTAGGGAAGTCGCCGTGGCTGGCGGCTCTTTCGTATCATTCCTGAGAAAAGCTCTTCTTGGGTATGGTCTTAGCCGCCTGGTCTTGTGATCCACTATAAAACCGTGGGGGAAAACTGTATCAAAGGAGATGAGACAGTACTTCCTCCTTCTCAACCATTTTTCTGAAGTCCGGCATGTGCAGACTAACTTCTGTCTAGCTTTTTCTTAATTCTGAGCATATGTTTTCTTGTTTTATTTAGTACTACTTTGTTTGGAGGGATTTTTCCAGCTGACTTTTTACTTATGAATTTCCTACTGGGGGTAATTGAATAAAAGACAGCTGAAAAATGGGGATGGAAACAGTGGGGAAAACAGAAGGGAGAGAAATGCATGAAACTCCACTTTTCAGCCTCAGCATTATTCCCTGCACCTCTGGCACCAGCGTCACCTTCATTTGGTGTGCTCTCTGTCTCTCAGTATTTTGTTTTACAGGTGGTATGTGCATTAGCCAGCTTCTGCCGCTGTGCCAGATACGCCTGACAGCATCGGTCATTTCAGATAAAACCGTCATGGTGCATCGACCCAGAAGTGACAGAAGGCTCCACAGTAAGCCCCGCAGCTTGCCGTCTTCTCTGGTCTCGCCTGCACCTTCCAGTCCCGCAGGCAGCTGCTGTGAAGGGCTACATCCTTCGCATCTTCTGGCATCTGCAGTGGAGAAAACACTGACCACTTGTGCATGCCAACTGCACTGTTCTGCTTTCTACACTTTGGCAGTATCCGCGTGATGCTTTCATATTCTTTTTGATTGGTACACAGTTTTTCAGTGTGAGGACAAATATAACTTAATTAATGAATCTTTTTGTGATCAATGTTGTCCTTATTTATGTTTCTATTATAAACAATGCTACTGAGATATCCTTTAGGCATATCATATTAATGGATGAGTTTTAATCTTTAAGAAATAGCAGATTCAGACTCTCCTACCCTCAAATATTTTGCCATGTATTATCCAGGTTCTTAACCAGGAATTCTCCTATAAGGTAACTTGTTGTCATAACATACCAGGAAACCACTGTCAAATGGCTTTTCTTTGTCGAAAGAGAAAAATTCCTCTCTCAGTGACACCCTAAATTTGAATGCTATTTTCTGCCATGCAAAATTACCCTCCTAAACCTCCACTCTGTGGTTACTTTCTCTCTAAATCATCCCCTGCTGCTCAGACAGCCTAAGGTTTCGAACCTTCCCTAGTCCTCCCTTGGTGGCTGCCCCATGTATGTGGGTGATACACAAATATTCCTAAACAAAATCAAAAGTAAAAAGCAAAAAAAGATATTAAACTATTCCTTGCCTTAATATAACTTACATTGTATAAGCAATTGTGGTTTTCTTCATAACCTGTACATGGACTAAATATAATACATTATACTTGTATAATTTATATATATGCTTGTATGTTGTGATCATGACATCAGCAATGAACTATTCACTGACATATAGTCACAATAACTATCATCACATATGTGCATATGGACATGTGGAGAGGCATGTGCCTCAGTGTGCGCCTGCTGGACCAAGAGCTACAAGGTAACGGAATGAGCACGCCATGTCATGAGTTTTAATTATCGCAAAACAAGTCTTCAGGGAGTACACACGCACGTGACTGCCCCTTTCACCCATGTCTCTCACTCCCTGCCAGTTTGGAGGTGTATACGTTTGTGGGAGTCCAGTTTAACTTCTGGCAATGTCCCACAGGATGTCAGAACATTCTGATATTTTCACCAAACATCTGACTAATGTTCTAGTGGTAAAAGCAGATTGACTGGCAAGGGAAAGCAGCCCCTTGACATGGTTGTGTGGGAGTTGTAGGACTGTGAGGGCACTGGGGGCTTCATGATAATCCTGTTCAATCTTCTGTTTCACTGTGGAGGAAACTAAGCTGTGAAACAGTGTTCCCTTCCCAGGACAAGACAGCAAAACTGAGAATTCCCCCACCTGATCCTCAATTCAGCTGTCATTGCCCCCCCTTTAATATAGCTATATTGTTATTTGGGCTATTTTTATATTCCAAAGGTTAGCTGCTTTCCATGTTATTCTGATGGTGAGCGTATGCTTTGCACATTTGCATTAATTTTAAGAAATACCGAATCTCTGAAAGGTATTTTAAAATCACTTGGCTCATGATGCATTTCCACCAGTAAATGTCAAAGCTACTCCTTGTAGCCACTGTGCTCCCTTGGTAACCTTCCAAACAGAATTCTAAGTGTGACAGGTGATTTGCTGAACTGTTAGTGCATGTGTGTTTTCTCTTCTTGATATCATTCTGTTTTCCCACTCCAAGGAGTCCTTCAGCTTCCTTTTCATGTGGAGGTTTCTTTTGTTCTCAGGAGTCCCAAGGAAGAGGAAGGTGGTGACTGTGATGAGGAGCAGAGCGTCCCCCAATGGAAAGCCATGGGGATGACGGGTCCTGTCGAGCAGGTGGGGCTGCAGGGGAAGGCTGGCCGTGGGTGGTCCTGCAGTCGGACAAAGGTCCTGCAGTCGGACAAAGCTCCCAGCTCCTATGGGTATCAGATGGTGTGGGGTCCAGCAATCCTTCCCAGACTCTTGTTGGTCCATTCAAAGAATTGGGTGGGATAAGAAATGAAGGAGAACATTTGACATTTATTGAAAATGGAAAAGGTGTTACAGGTTATAAGAGTAAGGAGAAGACATGTTTTTTCCAAGAGTGAAAGAAGTATTTTAAAAAGAAGTGCTCTGAGGAAAAGGAGAGAGAAAATACCCCTCATGCAGAGTTCCCGGAAGAAGGAAAGGCCTACGAGGCCCACCTGCCACTCTGTTAGGTCCCTCTTCCGGGGTCGGAGCCCGCTTCGGGAAGCCGTTCTGGACCAGATTTGATAGCTGTCTCTGAGGGGTAGGCCATGCCCATTGTCTGGCTTCCTTGCTATGCCCTAATCTCCTGCATCAGCACCGTGTAGTACAGCACGTGGGTTCGGATGCATTCTCAGAAAATACAATCTGCTACGTCCTCAAGTGGCTGAGCTTGAACTGGGGCAAAAATGCAGAATGGGAGAAGGATGTGAGACTAGAATTGATCGGAGTGATTTCATGCCTTACACTTTATTTTTGGATTTGTTTATTTACCACGCATAAAATAAGAAAAGTTAAGGTGAAAGCAAGGACACTGAACAAAGATGAAACCCGTGCCATTTTATATATGGGTTTAGAAAATACCCACTTTGGACTGTTAGAACGAAATACTGTAGAGTGAGTGGCTCTGTCACATTTCTGTTGTGAGCCTCAGGGATTCACTTCTCACAGTTCCAGAGACTTCACGAGGAGTCCAAGACGAAGGCACCTGCAGATGTAGCATCTGGGGAGGAATCACGTGCTGCTTCGTGGGAGCTGTCTTTTAGCTGCGTGTCCCCCCACCCTCTCTGGTACCAGGAATCGAACTCCAGTCCTTGCTCTTGGTGACTCAGGCAGTGGAACCACTGAGCTACATCCCTCGCCCAGCTGTGTCCTCCCTCAGCGAAGGGACTGGGCGCTCCCTTAGACCTCTTTGATGAGGTCACTAAATCCATTTTTGAATGCTCTGCCCTCATGACTTCATCACCACCCAAAAGCTCCACCTCCTAGTATTATCGCCTTGAAGATTGCAACTTAACACACCAGCTTGAATGACAACATTCTGACACTAGCACAGTGTATACAGACAGATTCACATTTCAATTTCTGCTGTCATATTCGCTTGCCAATAGAACTATATGTTTGTATAGTGCTGTGCAGAAAATATTTCTGAGAGACTTTCTCTTCACTTCCTGTTTATTTCCAGTATTTACCCTCTAATTTTTTCTCCCACCTTTCTCATTGAAGTGATTATTTATCTTTAATCAAAGAACTCTATTTCAACTATAAATTCCTCAGTATAGTCCCTCACTAGTTTATTTTATATTTTCAGTTTAACATTGCATTTTCTAAACTTAGGCACACCTAAGGTCAATTTAAAAATGACTGGGGGATTACACATCTCTCCGTGGAGAACAATTTCTGGCACATTTATGAAGACAAAA